TATTGAAAAAAAAATATGAATTTAGGGATCCTGGGCGGTTCAGTTGATTAAGCATCTGATTTCAACTCAAGCCATGATGTCACAGTTCCTGAGTTCAGGCCCCACATCGGGTTCTCTGCTATCAGTGCAGAGCCCGCTTCTGAGGAACCTGTCTTTCTCTCCCTCTGCTCCTCCACTGCTCATGCTCCCCCACCCTCCCCCTCTCTCTCCCTCCTCAAAATAAATAAAAACATTTAAAAAGATGATGTGGGTTTAGAAAACATCAAGTAAAAATATTAAAATGACTGGACTTTTTTTTTTTTTACATTTATTCATTTTTGAGAGACAGAACACAAGCAGGGGAGAGGCAGAGAGAGAGGGAGACACAGAATCCAAAGCAGGCTCCAGGCTCTGAGAGGTCAGCACGGAGCCTGACGCTGGGCTCAAACTCACAAACCGTGAGATCATGACCTGAGCCAAAGTCGGATGACCAACCGACTGAGCCACCCAGGCGCCCCAATGACTAAATATTTTTAACCCATAATAATCTAAGGATATAAATGGTGACTGTCTTCAAATATTTAAATAGTTATTGTATAAAAGAAAGACTTGTTCTGTATTGTTTGGCTTTCACTTTATTGAGTTTGATGTCCCCATGTGTTTCACATGTAAATGTCCATTAAGTTGTAAAAAATACATATCTGTAGTTCAGGACAATGTTATTGTTAACCATAATGAAGACATTTCATATTTACTGAAAATAATTGAAGGCCTACTATTGGTTTGGTGCTTTTCAACATACTTACATGTATTATATTGTTTCATCCTCTCAACAGTTTTATGTGGTAGATATTACTATCTAATTTAAAATGTGAGGAAATTTAAGCATAAAAAATACAGATTTGGAAGTAGTCATCAGTGTTAGGTGAGCCATGATGTAGATGAAATTACTTAGGCTAAGTAGGTAGATTCAAAGCACTTTCTAATAGAACTTTATACAGTGATGGACGTCCAATAATTTGTATTGTTTTATACAGAATTAACTAGCTACACGTGGTTATTGAGCACTCAAGATATGGCTGCTGTAGAGTGAGGAAATGGATATTTAATTTTAATTAATTTAAATTTAAGTTTAAATAAGCACCTGTGGCTAATGGTTACTGTTTGGGGAGGCACAAGTATAGTGAGAAAGAAATAGTATCAAAGTTGGAACTTGGATAATGCCAACCTCTAAGTGATAGAGTAAAATAGAGTTTGAAAAATATTTTGGGCCACCTCAGCCTGAATTGGCAATCTTCTTCATTTCTTTTCATCTACTACCTACTTCATTCATTTGGGACATAGCATACACTGCTAAATTAATATATACATTAAATTATAATCAATCAAAACATAATTACTGGTGAGTCAAGTAAAAATATTTAAACATTTTTACACCATGTTCTATACATTGTTAGTAACCTCTAAATCAATGCTATTTACTTGATTTATTTGTTTAGAATATATTTCAAATTACTTTTCAAAAAGCTATTTATCTTTTATATATTGGGCTCAACCAAGGGAAAAGAAAATATAACATGGTACAAAAATTGGATTTAAGTTAAATGAAGAATAATTCAGTAGAGAGAGCTATAAAAGCTTTTGAAATTCCCAAAATTTCAAATCTTTGTGTAACATATATCAAACTCTTTCCCTCATTATAAATAATGATATAACAAATCTTGGTGCAATGAATTAATTGCAGTGAGAAATGTTATTTAATAAGCATATAGAAGCATGATTTTTTCTGAGTTAATGTTTTTTGCCTTTGGTACATTGTTATTACTACTCTCATTCCTCACTTCTATGCTAAATTTTATATATTGTAAATAATAAAGAGTAAAGGGTTAGTTTTTGAAGTTTTTCCTCTGAAGTCTCAGAAACTAAACATATCTTTAATACCAACATATAGAGGTCAAGAGGAACAATCCAGAGTTCATTATGATTGGTGAATAGTTAAAAAAAAATGCTGTTTCTCTGTGTTCAAAACCTTAAACTGAAAACCCAAGCCATAGATTGTTTGCTGTGATTAAATTGTGACAAGCTGAGAACTGCAGTAGTATCACAGAATGCAAACATTATTATCCTTCCACATATGAGTGGAAGTATCCAACCACTGTATTTAAGAGAACAAATTGTTCTTAGTGTAATAGGAACACAAGTTAGGTCAAATTTAAATTTTAGTTTTAGTTTAATCTATACTGATTAGAAGAACTTAAGACTTTAACAAATACACTTCTGTAAAACGTAATGATTACCTGGAACATTTTGATAGCCATTCAAGAATAAATTATATTCAATTTATATAGCAAACTAGATATTTCTGCTTATGCTTATACAACACTAGTTATTCCATTAGGTAAAAATTAAGCAAAATGTTTAGTTAAATGACAAATATATGACTATTTGTATACATTTAAATAATTTACTATATTTGCTACTTTTAAGTTATTTGGGGTTATACAATCATACCCTGAGTTTCAAAAAGATCAAAATTACAGAAACATCTCAGTATTAGTCCTGGGTTTGTCACAAACTGGGTATGTAAACATTGCCAATGATCTGAATCTCTTTAGAATCAAATCTCTCTATCTGTAAAATTACGTGCTTGAAGTACTGGTCAATCTGTAGGGTGTCTTATATTCCTCTGTGTCAGAAAGCAGAACTGGTCAATAGTACAAAAATCTCAACTTTGTAAAATATACAGTAGACTTTTCCAGAGGTAATGTTATATGATGTACAAAATACTGAGTCCAGTCTTTCTTCTAACTACCACACATATGAATTCTGTCTTTCTCAGTTTGGCTTATTTTACTTATCATAATAACCTATAGATTAGCATAAGGAATATAGTCAATGATATTGTAATAGCATTGTGTGGTCACAGATGGTAGCTAT